TTCCATTCCAGTGTTTCTCCTGTCATCCATTTACACAAGCTTCTTATGAAGATTATGTAGCGATATCAGTTATCTGATATCTTATTAAATGGAAAACAACTGACCCGTCACATAAAAAGAATTTGGACATTTATTTTTCCCCAGTGGTTATCAATAAATGAAGTACTGATAAAGAAGCTGACTGAATGATGATAAATTTCTTTAACACACAAAGAAGACACGACAAAGAATAATGTTTTCTATAAGACAGTGACCACTATCAGCGAAAATCAGAAAGACGGTGAGGAGCACACGGATAACAAAGCGAAAGGGAAGACACCTGTTAGACTGTTCACGTCCTCGGCAAGTCTTCATCTCGGATTCGCTCGTCAATAGCAATGGTTACAACACGCGAATAAATTTTGCTTGCTGCTACAATCGACTCATGATTTTATTTTGTTGGTAACGATCTGGCTGAATCGTTAATTTTTAAGATACAACCATTTGATTAGAAGAAGCTGCCCCCCCCCGGGAACGAACCTGGTATTTGATCTGAGCTGCAATACTACAGTTATTCGCTCTATCCCTCACCCCTTCTAGTCTTCATTATGTCCTAAGCCTGACAAATTCTCCACGTCCTACAAATTTAAACTGTCACGTTCTGATCCTAAGGATACGTGGAATTTTCATTCCCATTTACCTGAAAACTTCCTTATTGCTCTCATGCTCCATCTATGATATTTGTCTCTCTTATTCAGAACTACTCATCTGTTACCTCAAGTCTCTCTTCATCAGCGAGGTAATTATCCATTATTTACTGTCTTTCACTGCCACAGAGGAGGACTGAGATAATGTCGCAGTTCAGCACTTTATCCTTCGTTTCTAACGAAATATCCTTTTAATTTCAGTAATTTTATTCAGAATTATAGAGTAAATAATTCTAAATTACTTTCTTCTGGATTTATACGCTTGACAAATTACCATTTGCCGGAACCTAAAATTAAGTCAAAGCTTGACCCAAAAATAGCAGGTAAAAACGCTTATAAATTTTTCATAATTTTTGCTAAATTGTATTTATTGTCAATCGATAAGGGAACTGATTGATAGAATCACGGAAAATATTACCAGCTATACATTTTAAAAAAAATTATTTTGAAAAAAATATTAGCAGCAATATAGAAAAAAATATTACCAGCAATACATTTTGAAAAAAAATATTAAATAGAATTCTAAATTAAAAAAAATGATTTCTTACAAAGAAATACATATTCTATTCATATGAAAATTTAAATAACCCATTGACGTTGATATGCCGTAAACCATAACAAACCAAACCAATTAAACCAAAGAATACATATTCTATTCATATTGAACCATTTGCATTAAATAAATTGAGGTTGATATTAAGACAAAATCAAAACCAATCTAAACCAAAGAATACATATTCTATTCATACGATCCTAAAATAGCAGGCATTAAATACCCCATTGAAGTTGAACAAAAACAAAATAAAGCAAATAAACCAAAGAATACATATTCTACTCATGAAAAAATTTTCCGGTTAATATTCTATTCATACGAACCTATCTAAAAAGACCCATTAAATCATTGAGGTTGTGTTTAAGACAAACCTTGACCTGAAAATAGGTTTGCTAAATTTTACGGTCAAGATTTATCAATTTTGTCAATCGATAGGGGGAACTGATTGATAGAACACGGAGATAACAAAAGGCGTCAAGTGCATCGTATTATTTATTTATGGAGGACTTGTCGTGGAGGAATGGCAATTTTCTCGAAATTTATTAAAAACTAGCAGTAGAGCCCGGCGTTGCCCGGGGATGTAACAGTAAGAGATAGATCAAGTATCGACCATCATAAAGACTGAAAAATAAAATTGACAAAGATTATTGTTTAAGGTTGACGGACACGCATGTCTTAATTAAGTTTTTTTTTAAAGTTTTTTTTTTTTATTTTTACGAATTGGTCAAACCCAAACTCAAACAAAAACATTGTTTTCAATCGTTATGAGTCTACCGATTGAATAGAATTTTATTATAAACAATTGTCTTGTAAATGGAATTTTTAAAGCATTCTGAATGTAAAAATAAAGAAAAAAGTGTGCAAGACAATAAGAAACACAACCTGCAAAAAAAAAGTGAAGTTTTGTTGAAATCGGTTGAAAAATGTAGGAAATCCGATCCCATATATAAACGAACACACACATACACAAACAACCTGGGTTTTATAATAAGTATAACTCGATATGAGTTGCCCCCCTTCCATTCCCACGATGCATCTTAATCGTATTTTCAAATTGATTTCGTGCAAAAACAATTGTGTTTTTCCAATTTTTAGCGCTGTCAGAATCAATGCAAGATAATTTTACGTAGTCCTGTGAAGTTTTGTTGAAATCGGTTGAAAATTGTAGGAAATCCGATCCCATATATAAACGTACACACACACACACACACACACACACACACACACACACACACACACACACACACACACACACAAACTGGGTTTTATAATAAGTATGATTCCAGTTCTCTGCTTTTTCTTTTTTTTTTTTCGAAAACGAGGTTGCTAGTTGCATCTCCATGTAGGGAAATAAGTTGACATTTAAAAGACTAGTGCTACTAAATTTTGAAGTAACTTTCTTCCCATTACTTTGGCAAGCTTTAAAATAGTACATACAAATATTTGAGTTCTTGTCAAAGTAACGTTATTCAGAATGTATTCACTTTTTATTTCAACCCAAGAAAGGTGACAAAGCCACTATGGCGCAAGAGGTTAGCCAAACTGAAAGAATAAGAGAAAAAAAAAACATTATTGAGAAAAGAGGACAATAAAAAAACATATGAAAACAAACGATGATAACGATGAACGTCACAACTAAATTTTTAAATATCGTAGTTGACAGGAAAGCAAAACGCTAGTACAGTATGCCAAAGGGGAGAAGTGCAAGAGAAGGTACTATTGGACTAGAAATTACGGCAACATTTATCAATTACAACAGTGGATTATGAGACCTAACTGCCAATCTAGTACTGAACTTAAATTTATGATGTCGAGGTAGCAACGAGGTAAGAACAGAATAATCTCCATGAAAATATTTATAGACAAGGCAAAGGAAAGCGATGTTACGGCAGTCGGAAAGATTTTCAGAAAAAGAGATGCCAGGTAAAGACCGATTCTTCTTAGGATTTTATCAAGAATCTCTAAATACACAGCAGGAACACCAGACTAGATGAAGAGAGGAGAGCAATATTCAATATGCAGATGATGCTAGACTTGTAAATATGTCCGAGATGCAGCTATGCACTATTAAAAATTGCGCAGTCAAGTAACTGCGCTTTTCAACATGTTTTCTGGAATAATAAAATTGGAATCACCTTCTTTTCCTCGAAGACGTGGGAAATCATGGCTCTCCACACCTTTCTGTTCTTGAAGCTTTTAAATGTTGTCATTTTGTTATCGATCCTAAACCCTATTTTTCCATCTATTTACACAAGTCCATCGTTTTTCTTCTATGTGCTGGCGACCATTGCTCTTCACAATTTTCTGACTTTTCTATTGTATCGTCGAGGTGAATGATAGACACAGAAGAATGAGTGATTAATATATTTTTTCAGCATCAGTATCCGGTGCTAACGGATACATAAAAAAACAACAAAAAAAAAAACAGAACAATAAGTTACAAAACAACAAGACAACTTACAAGGAATAGATGAGGTTCAAATTCTGCATAGCCAAACGAAGATCAGTCCGAATATTAATCAGATTAGCATCGATTTATTAATCAACTGTTGAAGTCCTTAATCATAGACTATTTAAGATTATGATCCAGCCCATCTGGTAGAGTACTGAAGGGGTTCTAGCTACTATGCAACACTTTTGTAACACCAATTACTGTTTATATCTTACTATTACTGTCAGTTTATGCTACCAATGGGCAGAAATTCGTAACGTAAGTTACCAATTGATTTCAGAAGTAATAAAAATGGAATCTTCTTTTATGTACCATTTTCCTTGATGACGTAGGAAATCATGGCACTCCACAACTTTCGGTGTGGTGTAGCTTTTAAATGTTGTCTTTTTGTTATCGATCCTAAATCCTTTTTTTCCATCTATTTACACATTTTCATCGTTCTTCTTCTATGTGCTGGCGACCATTGCTCTTCACAATTTTTTTTTTACTTTCTGTTGTATCGTCGAGGTGAAGGATACACAGAGAAGAATGAGTGATTAATATATTTATTCAGCATCAGTATCCGGTGCTAACGGATACATACAAAAAAAAAACAAAACAAAACACGGGACAATAAATTATAAAACAATTAACAAGACAACTTAGAAGGAATACAGGAGGTTCCAAATTGTATAGCCATACGAAGTAAGATCAGTCCGAATAGTAATCAGCTTAGTATCAATTTATTAATCAACTGTTGAAGTCCTTAATCGTAAACTATATAAGGCTATAAGCCAGGCCATCTGGTAGAGTGATGAAGGGGTGCTAGCTAGATAATAATCAACTTTTGAAGTCCTTAATCGTAGACTATATAAGGCTATGAGCCAGGCCATCTGATAGAGTGATGAAGGGGTGTTCGCTAGATAATAATCAACTTTTGAAGTCCTTAATTGTAGACTATATAACGCTATGAGCCAGGCCATCTGATAGAGTTCTGAAGGGGTGCTAGCTACTATACAACATTTTTGTAGCTCTAAGTACTGTTTATAGCTTTTTATTACAGTCAGTTTATGCTACCAATGGGCACAAATTCGTAACGTAAATTACCAACTGATTCACCCTGCAGTTTTTTTTTTCTGTTGCTATACCCAATGACAGTCAAATTATCCGATTCCACTTTCCTCATTATATGTTCCTGAAATTTCAGCCCTCTTTTCCAAATCCGAAGCGAATTAGGAAATCCTTACTCATTTCATGGAATATTACCTGTTCTCCACAGGCTCCGTCCTTCAACCGAACCCTTTAATAACTGGGCTTACGGGAACATCTCGTTGAAACACCGTTTTCCGTACGATCTCCGAAGTTAAGCAACGTCGTGCCTGGTCAGCACATAGACTGGTGACCGCTGGGGAAACCAGCTGCCGTAAACTATGGGTTAATTAGTAAAACTTGTATCACTAATCTATTCCTATCTCCCCCCCCAAAAAAAAAACCCTCTCGGCTCTAAATAACCTGAAATGGGTTGGTAAGCCGTAGAAAACGAACCAGTCAATCAATTCTTTTTATCTGTACGGAAATTGTCGAACATTCATGTTGTAACATAGAAAGGCTTACTGAATAAGGAATAACCAAAACGGAGGTTGGGAATGGAATGCTAATCTGTATAACATCAACAAAATGCAATACTCGCCAGCGGCGGGAAATAGGTAAACCACTGCTAGTGGTGGACTACGTAGACACCATATTACACCGCCGCGCCTTACAATAGTGTCCAACGTATTTATGAAGATTGGGGCATACCCAGTAGTGTTCATAGGTACGGTATATAACAATTCACTGCCACAGAGGAGGATTATTTAGCGGTTCGGTAGGCTTTTCTTTAATTAAGGATGGAATTCAAAATTCCTTTCTCCTGAATTGTTTTGTGGTGAAGAATAACATTTGTCGAAATCTAAAATTAAGTCTTGTCCTGAGTATAACAATAAACTTCATCCGACAGTAAGGCCTCTGATCACGAGATTTTGAGGAGCGTGGAACCACCCCTTAATTGCTGTTGTTCCCAGGCTAAGCCTGGCCCGGGGTGGTGGCATCTGTTATAGTCCCAGCTATGAGCAAATATCTGACTCAAAAACTGTGCTCAAGACACTATGAAAGTGTAAAAATAGGTTTTTATAGTCAAAATACCAGCAATGGATTTTTGAACAAAAATATTACCAGCTATACATTTTTGGAAAAAAATATTACCAGCTATACATTTTTGGAAAAATATTAGCAGCAATATATTTTGGAAAAAAAAAATATTACCAGCAATACATTTTGGAAAAAAAATATTATGAGCGATAGAATTGACCTCCGTCAAAAACCCTCTTTACAAAAATTCCTCAATAAAACCTGATCTAAAAAATGATTTCTTACAAAGAAATACATATTCTATTCATATGAATCTACCCTAAAAATGATGTCGGCTTTAAATAACCCATTGACGTTGATATGCCGTAAACCATAACAAACCAAACCAATCTAAACCAAAGAATACATATTCTATTCATACGAACCTATCCTAAAAATCTTGTCGGCATTAAATAACCCATTGAGGTTGATATGCCGTAAGACAAAATAAAGCAAACCAATCTAAACCAAAGAATACATATTCTATTCATACGAATCTATCCTAAAAATGTTTCGGCATTAAATACCCCATTGAAGTTGATATGCTGTAAAACAAAATAAAGCAAACCAATCTAAACCAAAGAATACATATTCTACTCATACGAATCTATCCTGAAAATGTTGTCGGCATTAAATAACCCATTGAGCTTGATATGCCGCAAAACAAAATAAAGCAAACCAATCTAAACCAAAGAATACATATTCTATTCATACGAACCTATCCTAAAAATGTTCACGGCATTAAATGACCCATTGAGGTTGATATGCCGTAAAACAAAATAAATCAATGGAAACCTAAAATTAAGACAAACCTTGACCTGAAAATAGCAGTTAAAAATCCTCATAAATTTTACGGTCAAGAGATCAAATGTATCAATTTAGGATCGATTAGCTTGTTGAAATTTATTCATTGTTAATCGATAGGGGAACTGATTGATAGAACCGTCCACATAACAAAGGCGTCAAGTGCATCGTATTATTTATTAAAGCGAGAACTTGCTGCGTAGGAATAACCATTTTCTCGAAGAATCGTTAAATATTCCTATTGTGAGATTTCTATTTCGAACAGTATTTCTCTTCGCAAACGCAAAGCTCTTCCGATTTTATAAAGAGGATTTCCATAAATAAATATATATATATATATATATATATATATATATATATATATATATATATAAAGGATGTTCCAGTAACTTGGGCCGATTTTAAATGTGAATTAAGTTTAAGCGTCAAATGGCTTTTTTTTTTCATTTTCTTTCAGTTTTAACAACTTACGTCTTTGGCAATTTCAGCAGTGGAAAGATTAACACTCAAACGACATGTTAAAGTTATCGACGCTTATTACGAAAATGGACGTTCAAACCGAAATGCAATGAGAAGTTCCCGGGTCTTTCTCGAAACAGCGGAGTCAATTGTCCTCAACGATCGTGCAACTTGACGAATTTAGATTTGATCCCTTGGGGTCATCTCAAAATGAAGGTCTATGCCGACAAGCCCATAATAATTCAACACATGCAGGATGAGATAATAAGGCGTAGCTTCCCTGTGCCTTTTCCACACTTTGTTTTAGTGAAAAATTCAGATCAGGATTCCTGGGTAAAAGATGATAATAAAGGGTGTTGTAATAACTTGGACCGATTTTAAATGTGAATTAAGTTTAAGCGTCTAATGATTTTTTTTTCTTTTTCTTTCAGATTTAACAACTTAAGTCTTTGGCAATTTCAACGATGGTACGATGAACAATCAAACAACGTGTTAAACTTATCGGAGCCTATTATGAAAATGGACCTTCAAACAGAAATGCATTCCGCGCATTTCGCGATTTTTTTGGTCAACATAATCGACCAATCGAGAGTGCAATTAGAAAAATTGTTCGTAAATTTGAACAAATTGGGTCGGTGGCAGATGTGAAAACACTATTGCTGCTCGTTTACGCCGTTCAGCTGAAAACATTGCTTCAGTGCACGAAAATACGGCCAAAAATCCAGACACCTCTATTGGTCATCGCGCGCAGGAATTGAACGTCTCCACAACAACGTTACATCGAATTTTGACAAAAGATTTGTTTCTACACGCTTACAAAATGCAATTGACACAAGAACTGACATGAAGTGGAAAGATTATATTGAACCTATTACGAGGTCTCCTGTTAAGAAAGACAAATTTTCTCTCCTGAATCTTAGATATCTATATGCCGACCTTGCTTTGAATATTGCTGCCACATATGGCCCGGTACTCCTGCTGTAGATTTAGAGATGCTTGATAAAATCCACAGAAGAATCAGCAATATTATTAGTCCTTATTTGGCGTCTCCGTCAATTTCTCACCACCATAAAATTGCCTGCCTGTGCTTTTTCTATAAATACTTTCATGGTACTTGTTCAGATGATCTTTTCGTTATGGTACCTAGATTTTATGAATTGAAGCGCGGTACTAGATTGGCAGCTAGGTCTCATCAATTGACATGTGAATTGATTAGATGTAACTGTAAGTTCTAGGCAAACAGATTCTTTTCACGCACTTCTCGCTTGTGGAACTCTCTTGCGGATCCATAAATCCGAGGCAATTTTGATCTTCAAAAATTTAAATGCAATATCAATCGTTATCTCCTGTCTTCTTGATTACTCTTCTATTGTTTTCGCTCCTTTATAATATTTCTGCTTTCTAATTCTTTCATACTCAGTAACCCCCTTGCGTCTTAGTGGCTTTACTGTCTTGCATGGAGTGGATTTGATTAAAAAAAAGGCAGTTTCCTTCCAATCTGTTTGTGTTGGGTCGTGTAGAAAGCTAACAGTTTCATTATATCATTATTTTCTCTTCTAGTCCCATTTCTTTTGCTGCATCTGTAAGAAGTGTTAAAGCGATGACGTTTTTTCGTATTAAGATTATTGTTTGCGATTGTGTAGCGCCATTCTACAGTCTCTGATGTAGGACTGAGTTCATTATGATTTATAGTATTAATACGCTTGAAACTATTTTTCGCTCCCAAGAATGGCAATAAAGCCACTAAGATATAAGGGGTTACTATAAAGGAGAAAAAAAAAACACGAAAAAGGGCAGGAATTCAGAAAACAGTAGCTGTTATTGATCTTTCCAGTATTAATTTCTTCCTTTCTTGTTGTTTTTTTTTTGGGGGGGGGGTTTGTTTTTCTTTTAAAAAAAAAAAGAAGAAAAAAAGTGTGGAATATTAACTTATTGATTATGTCATTACTCTCTCTTCGAGTGATATATGCTATCCGTTTTAGTTGTTTCTACTGTTGGAAGTCCTCGAGTGATGTGGATTTTGTTGTTTGGTACAGCTCTTTGTTTACACTATTTACACTGTCCCGACTGTTGTTGTCCTCATCTTTATCGCCATATTCATGACTTTTCAGCCGTCGTATGCCCCGACCTTCTTCAGGTGATTTTTTTTTTGTGTGTGTGTGTGGGGGGGGGGTAAACTGAACCCCCTATTTAGTCCATGGGGGTAAATTGTTTTAATTATATTTGCCATGTCTTTTTTTTAATGTCTCAGTTAATTCCCCTTGGTATCTTATCTCTACATTTTTTGTGGCATGTATTCAACTCTGCTGTGGCCAGGTATTGAACTCAGAACTCTTTTGGCCAAATCACTTTCGGATTACTCAACTAATGCTTTCATCCACTATACCTTGTGTCTTAATAAGGTTTGAAAAAGGATCGTTCTTACTGAGACCTTTCAAATTAAATAAAGGAGAATCATTCTTATAGCCACATCTCTTTTGTCATTGTTGGCTGACTGTTTCTCAGCACATACATGTTTTGTATATATTAATTGATGATGAAGATATTAGAAATCTCTAAACACATTTAATAATCTAATAAGGACATGAGAATTGCAGAAAAAGTATAGAAAAAATAATCAAACACAACTGACTTCCCCTAAACTTCTATCCAACAATAATTTTTTGTTTCTTCTGCAGTGGTCAGGTTTTGAACTCACAACTCTTTGGGTTAAGTCACTTTTGGATCAACAAACCAAGGCTTTAATTCACTAGGTCTTGAGTCCAATAACATTTGAACTACAGGGTGTTTAAAAAAGAATACGCCAAAATCATTACACTGTTTTTTCAGGTCTATAGCATTGTAGTGGACTGAATCAGTGGTTATTTGATGGAGTAGTTATCAAAGTTTGATTGGCTGTCAGTTTCACCGCTGTCGTTAGTATAACTTCCGGTGCAGCTGAATTGTGGGAAGACAAACCTATCTCGAAATGCTTCAAAAAAATGGCTATTCGCTT